TAATCAAAACGTAAAAATAGGCAGTTACATATATATATATATATTATATAAAACCAATATTAATTAATTAATTTTTGCAACGCAAAAATAGTTAAACATGTTATTATTAATATTGGCTTATTCAGGGCTCTACAGTGCGACCATTTCAGTCGCATTTGCGACTGAAAACTACTGATAAGCGTAGAGCCCTGCTTATATGCAGCCAATATGCTACAAAATGAATTAAAATTAAATAAAGTGTGTTATTAAATTATTAGACTAACTAAGTGAATGCTTGATTATGGTTAAGGTAACCAAAATATAAAAATAGGCAGTTAAATATCAATATTAGCTTATGTGTGTGTATATATATATATATATATACACATACATACATACATACATACACACACACACATACACACACAATATTAACTGACATGCTACAAAATAAAGATTAAGTATTAAGCTAAATTATTAGATTACCTTAACCATCCTCAAGAATTAATTTAATCAAAATGTAAACACGGGCAGTTGAATATCAATATTGACTAAAATATATCCAATATTAATCGATATGCTACAAAATGAATAGATTAAATTAAGTGTGTTATTAAATTATTAAATTAACCAAGTGAATGCTTGATGACAGTTAAGGTAATGAAAAAGTAAAAACAGGCAATTAAATCAATATTAGCTTATATATATATATATATATATATATATATCCAATATTATCTGATATGCTACAAAAATAAAGATTGTGTGTGTGTGTGTTACATTATTCGATTAATTTCAAAAGTCATCAAGCCTTCACTTAAGGTAATAAAAATGTAAAAACAGGCAGTTTAATATCAATATTATAATATATATATATCCAATATTAATCAACATGCTACAAAATAAATACAATAATCAATTTTTAAACCAGTATATTGTGCATCCCTAGATAGGATGCTGCCTATGTAGGCAGTGAAAGGCAAGGCAGCTCACTAGTTTTGGGTAATGTTAAGAAAGAGGCCTTAGAGACATCATTTCAGAGGAGCAGCGAGTTATTACATTTCAATAAAATTATAAAGACTTTTTTCACATAAGGTGAACAGACGAATCATTCACAATGAGACCAAGAATGTGTATTAATAGCAGTAAGTTTGGTCAGTTTTGATCCTGATCATGAGAGTTTGAGATAGAGGGAAGTGAGATTGGTATTTACAGCGATCCGTGGCGGGTGGGAGAGAAAGACAGAGATGAAAGACAGCTAATACTGTGAAATACGGCACGAGAAACAACAGGAGGGTGATGACATATCAGCACAGTATGACAAAAAACTCAAAAATAGAGGTGATCCATATTCATAAGCGCACTGAATATTCACTCCAATTAACAGAACTGATTTCTGAAATTCATTCAGAAAAAGCCCTTTTCCTCTTCAGACGGCCATAAAAATCTCTTTACATTAACAGCGAACGGCTGGAGTTAT